CCAAGGTATTTATGGAGGAGATACCCTTGAGTCAAGCAAATTATTATGCACAATAAAACAATAATTGTTTTGCCAAAGGGGATGTGTGTGTGTGCACCGTAACAGTATAACAGTAAGAGAGAGCATAACGTACCTGTAAGTTTTACTTTTTATTTATAGGGTTTACCTGTGGGTAGTAGATTCTGGACTTTTAGTTCCTCTGATGATGGCCCAGGCCCATTCGTCATACTGTCGTATTAGGATTGATATCCTTAATGGATATCTTTTCGTAGTTATACTTGATTTAAATCTTAGATTGCCCCTTGTTGGGCCTGTAAACCAATGAGCCCCTTATATGGGTCATAACATTAGCTATGTATTATCTCTTTAAGGCTAGAAACTCCATATTGATGAATATTTTCAGATATATTTTTAATGAATTTTTTTTTGTAAATTTGTTAATGGATTTTCTTAGTAATACCCATATTAAATAAATTATAAAGAAGAAAAATATCAAATATTTCTCAAAATTTTAAAGTATTAAATAATTTTTACATTTTAATTAACATTTTCTATTTTAAATAGTTAGGATGATGTTAAGAGAATTACATTATTGGGAATTTTTCTCTCCCGACAAGAACCTGTAAAACATGTTCATGGTGACCTAACTAAGCTGGGAAGTAAGCTGTTCTTTATTTATCCAAATATCATCATACATGAGTTTTCCTTTATTGAGAAATACTTCCATAAATATGGAAAACTTTTAGTTAGGTATACTCAGTTATTATATTAGTGACGCATCATAAATCAATATCATAATGAATGATGAATTAAAAATTTAATAACTCAAGTTACCTAACTTGAGTAAACTGGATTTATGTTAAAAAAAAAGTTTGTATTTTCTTATGCTGTAGATGAACTTTTTCCTGCAGACTCATCACATATGCACTGTAACCTATTTTATTTTATTTTATTTTTCTTGTCTTTACTAGTGGGTCCCATTTTTGATTGAGTGGGTAGGAAATTTTTTTTTCCTATGACAGAAGAGTCATATTCCCCCAAAAAAAAAGAGATACAAAACTGAAAATTAATAGTCTCAAAATCTGATTTGGCCGAATCAACCTTGATTTCGGTGACTTAGTGTTTTCACCCGTTTGAGTTGGGCATTGGATCAGTCATATAATCAAACCGATATTAACCTAGTGAACCAGTCATGACATGCGATTCAACCAATTTATGTTAAATTGTGTAAATAAATACATTTTATAAGCAATGAGATTCGAACTTGAGTCCCATGAGGATCAGAAGCCTATAACTTGATCATTTTTATTTGTTGATGTTTATAATATAATTTAATATTAATTATATATTATTTCGAAATTCGATGATCATTTTTATTTGTTGATGTTTATAATATAATTTAATATTAATTATATATTATTTTGAAATTCGATTGAATACGGTTGAACCACTAATTCATTAATAATCAAATCAATGGTAATAATTATGTAACTTTCTGTCTTTATTTTTTTTCTCTCTTTTCTTTATCATCATCCATATACCCTTGTATGGTTGGAATTTTATCATATAACATAATTATATTAACTAACACACGAGAATATCCACTCCAAAAAAATCCTTCCCACTGAAAAGCCTACTATTAACCCGATTGTTGGCATCTAGACAAACGAAACCCAAGAATCTCCAAAAATCTAGAATTGTGTGGAACCATCTCATATTCCCCACTTGACCCCACGATCTCTAACACAACTTCCTTTTTTAAGTGGCTGAAGTAAACCCAATTTAGACCATTTAGTAGCTTTTAAAATTTTTGGAAAAGGGAAATAGCTGCCCCTCACAAACTGACATTGCTTTTTTTTTTTCTTTAACCTCCAACCTTCATGAGGTAGTTGTGTTATATTTGTTAATTTAGAGAAAATAAAACAACTCAACCTCTACGTAATCTGAAATGAAACTATAATACCTTTCGTAAGTCTTGGTCATAAGTATAAGATTATTTTAAAAACATTAAAAGGTAGGGGGAGGAAGGAGGCGGGGCCGCTGGTATTTTCTGCAAGTTGGAGGTACTTACATTGAACTTGTGAATGAAAATTATTCATCCTTTTAAATGTATATGTATGGTTGAATTAACTTACTTAAATATTAAAATAAAAGTCTTTTCAAATATGATCTATATTGAATATTTAATTTTTGGAATTAACATTTCTTACAAAAGATAAAATTATCTACTACAATACTAAAATGACATTATTTTGGGATTTAAAATAAAAAATAAAGGGTATTTTCAAAGCCAAGATGAGTACAGGGTCATAAATTCGATTCTCACGATCCCATTTTCTAGTGAAATTAAATCAACACAAGGTAGAATTAAAATTGGGTCTGTAGTGTTACCCAAAAAAAAAAATTGGGTTTATAAAACATAAGATAAACCAAAAAATGAGCATGTGCAATATCCAACTTTCAAGCTCAAAGAGCTTTTGTGTGAAAAGATATATTAGAAAGATATAAAATTATTAATATAACATCACCATACACAAACGGTTTTGGTTTTTCTTTATTTTTTAAATAAAATAAGATAGTTAACTTTCGACTTTTCTTTCTTTTTTTTTTATTTTCAAATGTGAGATATTTCAAAGTAACTTAATATTTAAAATTTTAACATCAACACTCTTTTCTATTGAAATTAGATAAAATTAAAGTTTTTTTTCATCGAAGAGTATATTAACTGTCATATCATATAATGAGACTGTCATTTATCTTATCATTTGTTTTTTTACGAGTTGTCATTTATCTATCGTATTTACAATTTTAATTCTACAAACAAACTTGATTATAATATATCTAAAAGGGGAAGTATCTCTTTACAATTTTTTTTTATAAATTACACTAAGTATGACTAGTTATACACTCTTGATTGAAGTATGACCGGTCAGACGTAATGTAGTTTGTAAGAGTTTATAAACGAAAAATTTGTAAATATAACATTTTCCATCTAAAATTATGGGATAATAATTTTTATTTCAACAAAAACATCCTTCTTATTTAACATTAATATCCACCAAACATCCTGAACCTAAATTATGAATCTGAAACTGGCATTCTAAATATATATTATCACAATCAACATCAACTGCACCTTTATCCCAAATTAATATATTATTGAAGAAGAAAATAAATGATATCCAATCTTCCACTAAATAATCTTCATATTTTGAAATGAAGTTAAGATTAGTTAAATTTCATTGGTTATAAAATCATTTGTTGTCATTTTGATAAACAAAATTTGTCCAATAATTTAAGCTGATAAGTGATTTGCCTTCAATAGTTTTATATTATATATCTCCAACACATCCCTCACACAAAAGCTAGCTTACTTAATTTTACTAAAAAATGAGGTGACGATCGAACTCTTGATATGTTTACCTCATACCGTAATAAATAACCAACCCAATGGGCTTCCAATGATTTTATATTATTTCTAGCTAATATTATTGCTGCATCTCTAATAACTCGATTAGTGAAGCACACTACCATATCATTAGAGGACATTTTCATCTTCTAAACTAAAACAAACAGAAGATATATGTAACTTTGTGAATTGCACTAACATTTCATCCTTGTCCTAATCAAACATACCATTGATAAATATGACACTTGCAAAGGAAAAGCTGTTACTGTTCAAATAGAGGCGCCTTGGTTAGATCAACGTTCAACAATCAACATTCTGTCATAACCATCGCCGCAAACTTTGCATCATGTCGGCAAAGATGGACAAAGGAAGGCCTCCAAAAGTTAAATGTACTGTCATGTATACAAGAGTGTCCTATCTTGATCCATGTTTCAATTTCCAAAACAATATTTATATGAAATCCGGGTCTAATCCAAGAAATTCTTTGTACACATGCCATTGGTCATACGATTGATAAGAGGAAGGAAAACCAAAAGAAAAGGAGTGATTGTCATCTGCAGTTGCTGCGCGCATCATAGATCTCTTTTTAATAATTGTCTGTTCATTGTTCAAATTTTGATGAACACAGAATCATTTAGTGATAGAATCCTCCTACTTATTATGAGAAGCAGAAACCTGTTACATTATAATCATGCACTACAAATACAACTAGGCTACCGACATGAATGTATATATATGGATATCTGGACTCAGAAATGTCTTGTTCCAACAACACAACAGACCTGAAAGACGATTTAATACCAAGAAAATCTCTCTTGACAACATATATATAGTGAATGAAAAAGAGGGCAAGCATGAAACCTTCTAATCTAATTAATAGAGAAGCAGTATCAAACGGATCTGTTAGTTCGAAATCAGTCATTTCCTTAACTTTCATAAATGCTAATAGCTGATGCAGTTCATATCGTTTGATGAACCTTGAATCATATATATACTAATGAAGAGAGTCATGATCATAATAAGAAACATAGTGAGCATTGTAATTTGTGGCTTCAGATATATATATACATGATCATCATTTCTTAAATTAAAAGTGCTTTGACACATATATATATGAAAATCCAGAAACTTGTAAAAACATCACAATCTCAGCAGCAAATGAATTGCCGGAAGTAGTTTTATTCAATGGAAAACACAAGAAAAAGGGCAAGGGCAAGGGCAAACCCGAGACATAGAATCATATATGGTGATAGAGAGGAAGAGCTAGGATCTTTTTTACACTGAATAATTCTTAGGCTGTAATAGCTAGGTTCCCCAAACTGATTAGATCGTACGGAAACTACGGATCTAACACGAAACTGATCAGATAATTCCCTAAAATAGAAGGCATCGATCTTTGGTCAACAAAGTAAAATTGAAAGTGACCTTATCCCTTGAATGTCCTATATACACGGCAACCTAATCAGCACCAAAACCCAAATCAGCTGCAAGATAAGTACAGTACCTAAACTAGAAAGAGGGGCAAATTAAAACGAAATGAAACACACAGAAACTAACTTAATAATTACTAGATCATACAAATCTGATCTGTTCAGTAAGTATAACTCCAAAGGTTATCTCCATCAGAATTCCCAGGAGAATCATCAGAAGAAAAGGAAGTAATCCTGGGAGGGCTAACTTGCATTCCCCTGGCCATATCATCAAGCAAATTCGGCATGTTCAGAAGCTCATCTTCATCAATGTATTGCTCAACTTGTCCACTGGAAGAGCTCTCAAGTGCAGAAAAAGGGTACTGTTGTTGTTGTTGTTGTGGTTGTCCTCCTCCTTGTGCAGTTTGTTGTTGTGGTGTCATGTTCACTTGCCTAGCTTGAGCAGCAGCAGCAGCAGCAGCACGTATATCAGATGCAGATAAGGAAGCAGGAATCGGGTAAGAGAGAATGGAATTGGGGAAGTTGAGAGGAGTGTCAGGGCCTTTCAAAGCGAGAGCAGCAACATCATAAGCAGCTGCAGCCATTTCAGCTGTTGGGTATGTTCCGAGCCAAATGCGTGTCGTTTTACGTGGCTCACGTATCTCAGACACCCATTTCCCACTCCGAGAACGGGTTCCACGGTAACGCACGGTGGCATGACGTTCACTTATTATTGGAGATGATGATGATCCAGTTGGGGTTGGGGTTGCTGAGGAGGAGGACACAACAAACTGATTATCATCAGGGACTTGAATAGGAGGAGGTGGAGCCACGTTTCCATAAGGAGGAGGGTAAGGGTTACCATCCATGTAGACACTAATATAAGTAGTATTTACATAGAAACGAGAATATGTTGTTGTTGTTGTTGTTGTTGAGATTAGAAATTGATGATAGTGGCAGTGGTAGCTGCTGTGCCTGGTAATTAAGGGTTTTGATTCTTAATGTGTATGCTATAGGCTCAACTCAAAGACAAAAGGAGAAAGAAAGAGGTGTGAGTTGTAAACCTCAAAGGTCCTGAATTGCCAAAGTGGGGGTTTAATAATTATTATATCAAAAGGAACTGAGAGACTGAACCAATGGGATAAAGCGTGGGAAACCCGCGGACAAGGACTTCAATTAATGGGCTTGACACTCTTGTTTAGGTCGACATAGTTAATAGCTATTTGTCAAAGTGAGGCCACACTGTTAACACGTATTTGGCGCACACAACAGTTCAAGCAAGCGCTGAATAGTTTTTTAAGTTTAACTATAACTTACAAAAATATGATGTTTTATTTATTTATTTATTTTAATATTTAGATTCATTAACTTAATTGAAGATTTCAACCAAAAATATGTCTTTCAGACTTAATTACTTTCATTCAAAAATAAATTTTAGTACACGCTTCATTAATTAATTAAATCTATCACACCAAATTTTGTATATTCAATTTAAAAATATTAGATGTCAAATTCAATGAACACGAAATATAAGGAAAGGTAACTTGCCTAGCTCATCCAATTGCATCTCTAGAGACATTTTCATATATAATACTGATATGAAAATGTATATAATCAAAATGCACATTAAAACAACACAGTGAACTCAAGACAGTAGAAAGGATGAGAAGAAACTTTGCAGAATAACGTGGAATACAAACGTGGGAATGGGAAGTAGAATAAAATTATGAATTTGGGGATTAACACCCTTAGTGCAAATTTTAACAGATATGTTAATTTATTACCATAACAAAATATAAGAAATTAACTAAAACAATTAAAGCAAGTTGTATTTTAGCCTCATTCGAATTCCAACCAAGAGACAATGTTATTGTTAACGTTTTCCATGCCAAAGAAGAAACCCATTGTGTAGTCGAGAGAAAAATAGAAAAAATGGGGAAGGAAATGATTAAAAAAATATAACCAAAAACAAGATTAAAAGAATTTTCAATCCCCTGATTTTTTAATTCAATATTATATACACATCCTTAATATTAATTATTATTTTTTTCATTTTCACATATGAATACCTCTCTCTTTTTCCCATCATAATTAAGAAGTGTCGACCACCATAAGAGCTTTAACTAGAATTGCAGCTTACAATAATATATAGGATGGCGAGAGCAGCTTACAATACCTAAATCCAAACGAGAAGCCACTAGTGAAATTTCTGCCAATACCAATTGTGAAATGTGTACGGTCACGAATTCCCATAGTCAATGAGCTCATCTATTAATTCCATTTTTTGTTCATTCATAAATGGACAAAGAAAAAAAACAGACCATTGACGAATCCTAAAGGTGAATCGCCCTAAATTATTTAGATGGTAATCAATCATGTCATTATTATACCTTTGTTCTCAAAAGCAAAATATCTTTGGGATATCATATTCTCTCTTTTAGGTTGCTGGTGTTCGAATCATAAAAAATCTGACCTAGCTACATAATTTGCGATCATTTTCAGCTTCTGTAATTGGTCCCTGACTCCCTGGGCCACATTATATGCTCGTACAGTCCCAGACCCATTTGGAACATTATTCCTTGTCGCTGAAACCATAGCATTTCTCCCATGAAGTTTAGAGTATACTCTATGTAGTAAACACCAATAAGACAATAACAAAAAATTAAAATAAAACTAAAGTACCAAGATATAATTATATAAAACTAAATTAAATATATCTAACAACATATAATAAATAATATCTTAATAACTACATAAAAAATGTTTGGTTTTTTTTTTCTTAATTTTTTTTTCAGTTTTTAAAACAAACAAAAATTGTTTAAAAAGGATTATTTTGTAAAAATGATTCTCAAGACAAGAACGGTTTCTAAAACTAAAAAAAGGAGAACAACTAGCACAGTAAAAAATGATTTTCAATGGGTTTGTTAGATTTCTATTCTTAAAAGCAATTTTTGAGTTTTTTTTTTTTTTTTTTTAAAAAAAACTATTTGGAAAAGGTTGTTTTAGAAAATGACTTCCAAAACAATAATTATTTTTTGGTCTTAAAAACTAAAAATGCAGTCTACTAAAAAAAATTAAAAATGCAGAACAACTTAGGAATATTCTCAAAAGTTGTTTTCTATTTTGTTTTGCGATGACAAATTTTATAAATATAAGTATTCATTAATAACATTTTTATAAATAAATATAATTTTTTAATTTTAAATTACTTTCGGTGGCAAACTTATAATTATGAAACTTCATATTTTTTTTAATTTATAACTTTAAATATAAATATATTAAAACACATTTTATTGCTCTTTTACTCTCAAAATAAATTTTAAAAATTTATATTCAAAACAGTTTTTAAAAATAAAAAAGCAAAAATATGTTCAAACAGACATGTTTTCTAAAATTATTTTTTAGTTTTATTATTTTTGCGGCACTAATTTTATAATTATGATGTTTGATTAATGACATTTTTGTAAATAAATTTAATTTTTTAAAATTTTGAATTACTTTAGGACTGCAATTTTATAGTTATAAATATAATTTTGATAAATAAATAAATAAAATTTATAATTGTTCTTCTGCTTTCAAAATTAGTTTTTAAAATTTATATTAAAAAAAAAGTTTTTTTTTTCAAAAAATAAAAGCATATCCAAACATACTATAGATCTCTCATTGCTCAATGCCCAGTGTCCCCTTGTCCCCCGAATCACATGGTGAATACACGTGAATTTGTTTGACAGCAATTATTTTCAGGTTTAGAGGGAGGGTCCCCTAAAAATGAGTAAAGAAAAGGAGCAAAAGAAATCAATGACAATGACTGGGTCAAGCAAAATCAATGGGCCTGCGACCCCACGGATATTAGATATCTCGGAAAAGCAATGGAATCATATCTGTGACATATTATTTCACATTATATTATTTATCTTATTAAACTATTATTAAAAGCTTTTAATTATAACAACATTTAAAAAGATAATTTATTTTGATTATTATGCTAATTTAAGAATAGATAATAACAAAAAAGAAAAAAAGAATTACACCAAAATTTAATAAAAAGTTCTATCCAGAATTGAATGGTTGAAAATATGAAGAACCTAAAGCCAACTTGGCACTATTGCTATCCAACAGAACAGCGCACCGATGTTGTTTTGTCTGTATGCGAATGCGAAAAGCCAGTTTGTCTTTTTTTTTTTTTGGTCCGACTTGATGTTTTGCTATGTGGAATTTGGATTTGAATCCTTTTTATATGAAAAAGTGATTACGTGATTATGTTATTTTATTATAATCACTCATTTAAAAATTATATATATTTTTTTCTCTTATTTTATCATCAATAAATCATTGTGATCAAATAGTATGATTACAGAATCACTTTTACACACGATAGAATCCAAATCCGTGTAATTCAGAACATACAGTGTAAAATAGTAAAATAGATTTGGAGAGTGGAGTAAATCTATCCGAGCATTTCTCTTTATGGGATTTTTTTTGGCACTGATTGACCGAGCCAAGTGGATGCCATATTGCTTTTGCCTGTATTAATTGAGGCGCAGCTATATATCCGTTTAACTTTATTATTTTTCCCCTATCTTTATTATTGTATTGTAATGACCCATTCAGTCATATTTTACTATGCTAACCTTAAAAATTAAGATTATATTAAAGAATGCATCTGTGAGTTAGAAAAAAGTATTCATTATTTATTTGTAAAAATAATTGCTAAAATATCAAATATTATTTCCATTCCTTAACACATACATTTAAGGTGCAAGTCAACGGCGTCTATTGTATTCTGATTTTTTTTCTTAAAAATATTTTTGTAGAATAGTTAATAAATAAGTGTTTTTTAATTAATAATCAAAATACAAAATAAAAATTACTCATATATATTCTCTAAATTTGATTAAAAAAACAGTTTTAATTTTAAAATTATCTTTACAAAACAGATCTTATTAAACAAATTTTTTTATTTTTTATTCTGAAAATAAAAAAAAATATTTTCAAAATAAATTTCACACATGCCTTCGTTTTTATATAATGGGAGTCGGAACTAGCATTAAGATGTGTACGGTGTACCTATTAGCTTATTTTTATGTTTGGGATTGAATAGGCTAGGTAGTCTATGGGGAGTGGAGAATTAGGGTGTGCAATATAATTATTCTATTTTCTGATACTGTTTGTAAAAAAAATAATTATTTTTTATGTCTGTGTCTTGAAATTGTTTCTGAGAAAAAAAAAAGTGTTTGATAACATGTTCTATTTTTATTCTGAGAATGAGAATTGTGTTTGATAACACAGCAAATAATAAAAAATAATTTCTATTAAGCATATATTTTTTTTGGATCATCACTTTCCTTTCCATATGGTGTGGTGGTGATAGCGGCGGCGTCGTGGTGGCGTGCAGATGGTGATAGTGACGGCAGTGTCTGCGGCGATAGTGGTGGTAATGGTGACATAGTGGTGGTGACGATGGTGGTGGTGGTGATGACAGTAGCTGCGATGGTAGTTGTGGTGGTTGGTGACGGTGGTGGTAGTGGTGGTGGTTGGTGATGGTGGTGACGGCGATGACATCGTCGTGGTGGTAGTGGTGGTGACGATGACATTGGTGGTACAACGACGATGGTGGCAGTGGTCGTGTCGGGACGATGGTGGTGGTGATGATGACATAGTGGTGGAAAGTGATTGAGAGAAATAAGTGTTTCTCATTTCGTGTTCGGGAACAAAAAAACAAAAAAAAAATTCTTTTATCTATTCCCCAGCACAAAAATTAAACCGATTCATTCTGAAAACAAAAAAATAAACCGATTTTACCAAACGAGTTTTCTATCCATTTATGTTCCCGGAAACATAAATAAAAACAAAAAAATTTGATTCTTTT